ATAGGCAGGCGTGTATTTACATTTCACATAAAATGCGGTGCATCAACCGAGTTAACGAATGGGAATAGATGCTTGTGTGCATCTTTAATGCTGCTTTGCTTGTCTTATTTTAACCCTCTACAACTTATGTTGAAAGTTTATGATGCATTAATTGGCTTTGTCCGTCCGTCTGTAACGTGGCAGCACAATAACTCTGGGAAACGATGATCCGATACGAATTACACTTCAGTTTGAAGTTGTGTTGCCCTTACGGATGTCGTTTAAAAAAAAATGATCAAAGGCTTGCTCAGAAGTAGGAGACACAAACCAGAGCAATAAACTGCTGGCAATTATTGCATTCGCGATTTGGCCCGACAGCTCCCCGCCGGCTTGCCGAACTGCGAATGAAACACACTTCCAAAAACAAGTGCACTTTTGGGAGTGTTACAGAATCCATGCGTACGCACGATTTTTCTCCGACTTGTTTATTACTTTCTTGGCGTCATCGCGAGCACTGAGGCATTGGTGCTCATCTCCTGCTTACAGTGGTGGACATTCCACATTCCTATGGCAGGGACGAGTATATCCCTAGGGCAACCGTTGTTGACTTCCCCACGAAGCGGTGCCTATTGTTCAAGTTTAAGTTCAAGTTCATTTATTAGGTATAGCCCTGTGAGCCATTCGGCTCTTGAATCGGGTGCAACCGCAAAAACAAAAAACAAAAATATGAACAAATAACATCTTAAAGTGAATATGTGACTGAGTGCAAACAGAAAATCCAAGAAAAGACAGCAAAATATTGCAGAAAAAACACCGTACACCAACGCTGTGTACAAAAATCCCAGTGGGATGCAAGTCAAACAACAACAACAACCACAAGACAACTTAGATTATTGTATCGGCCCCGTAAAGGATGAAAGCCGAGTGAATCCCCAACCTGGCTGGATCGCTTGCCATAAGATTATGGTTCGCTGCATCTTTTATCTGGGGACTAACTCCGTTCAAGATGAGCGTTTCACTCGTAAGCCTCGTGGGCAATGTTAAGATAAAAAGTGAGATGAACTTCCCAGCGAATCACGTGATTTCATACCCACAACTCGGTGTGCGAAAAACTGCCTGCGTGAATGACTAAAACAACAACAACAATAGACCAACCACCCACCGCCACCCCCCCTATTCCACATGGCATTAGCAACAACATATTTACACATCTCACATCACTGGATATTAAAACTGGGGGGGGGGGGGGGGCAGCGGTGAGGTGCTCCGGGTGGCACAAAGCTGTCATCGCCGATATCCCAGATCCCAATCCAAGCAGCGGCCCAATGATTAAGCCAGGTTCTCACACCCTCCCCCCACCGTCCCTCTCTTTACCCTGTGAGGTTTGTTATCTTTCCCTTCATTCTGCCCTCCCCACATGAGCCGTCTTGTTCTTGCTCGCGGTCCCCAACTTGGGTGGGGCAGAGAGCCCGAATGCCCCCCCCCCCTTCCGTCAGCCCTGGCGTCCACGATCCTGGGATTTGCTGCTCGGCGGAGTTGCCGCTCCCCCCCCCCAACTCTGTTGTGATCGGTACTTTGTACTGGGCTCGTGTGGATTCCCGATAATAATAATACAAAGAAGCCCGGTTCTCAAGCGGAGTGAGTTGATTATTGTCATCTCAGCAACTGTCGCCAAATGACTGCAAAGACAAAGATCCCCCGTATAGCCTGAACAGACTGTTGGGGCAAGTGCTGTTAGCGAGCACCTATGAAGGCCGGCACGGCACACGAGGGGGGTGGGTGGCCAGCACCATGCCCGGCCGCCTTAGTCTCCATAGTGGCGATGTTTACACACCTCACCAGGTACTCATTTGAGGCTGAGTCGGCCTAGATGGAGGCCCGGGACCGGTTCAGATAATCGTCACTGGTGTTGGCCGTGAGCGGGAATCGACATTGGGTCGCCGGTTATCGTAACGCAGCGCGCTAAACGCTACACTCGCCAAATGACTGCACACACACAAACACACACACAATATACAGTATTACTTTTGGTTCTATACTTAGATTAGATAAATTCCATTCATTAAAGTTAAAACTTTCAGCTTGACTGTCTATATGATGAACTTTACTTTGGAGTGGCAGTGATGGTGGGTTAAGTGCTCCTCCCTGAGTTTATTGACCAGAGGATTTCAGAGGCAGCTCTGTGAGTTTAACACGTGGGCTTTTACAACCAATATCATCCATAATACAGGTTTTTTGGGTTAGAGCGCGTAAATATATAAATGTGTCGTTAAAACCCGCCACCACCCGACACAACCAATTAGTAAGGTTTGTCACGTAAACAGAACGTGGCCAATTCGTCACTAGTACAGCACTAGTGTATAGTGTAGTGTATAGTGTAGTGTATAGTGTAGTGTATAGTAGTGTATAGTGTAGTGTATAGTAGTGTATAGTAGTGTAGTGTATAGTGTAGTACACTAAGTACAGCACGCCGGTCTGTTGGAGAGCAAAGCCACAACATTTACAATCCGAGTCCGACGTTTCACCAGTAATTACAACCAGCTTGATGAAGCTAGTTGTTATTACTGGCGAAACTAGCGTGATGGTCAACGGGCAATCACGAGGTCCGTCCAAGATTTATTGAGAGTTCCGAAAGGCCCGACACCGATAGCACCACTACTCCACTTCTCGGACTACTTCTCTGCGGAGGGGGGAAGAAAAGACGAGACTGAGACTAAAGGAACTTTCACCAGCGCGCCGCTGAAAGGTCCAACACTTGAAATAGTTTGTGTGGCTTAATGTGAACGAGGCGGCATGAAATCACCGTCGTCGGGTGCAGACTTACAAGTCCGCCAAGTACGGCAAATGTGAAGCGTCTTCTTGGTTCTTTCGGTAAAGTCACGTAGAAGGGAAATAATATAATAACAAAAATAAAACATAATAAAATAATATAATATTATAAAATAATATTATAGAATAAAATAATAATATAAAAATAGATTTTATTTAATGTTTTATTTTTATTATTTTATTATTTCCCTTCTACGTGATTTTACCGAAAGAACCAAGACGATGAATCCCTGCAGTCACGAAAGCTTTAAACCGAAAAATGTGAGGCGGTCGCGGCCGGAGTGAACAACCGAGACGACGTTGAACGGCATCGTCTCCAGCGGGGGCCGGCAGCTTGCGTAAGCGTCGTCCTGATCCGCTCTTTTGTTCCCCGGTACCCTTGGGCTTGCCAGACTGCGGTGGTCAGCTTTGGCGAGGAGGGGACTCGGCGACACGTCGACTCGGCTGAATCCTGCCGAGTTTTGGAAAATTGGTTTTGATCAAAGAGCGAGGTTTTCCAAGTTTCAGCACCTCCGAAGGAGAGGCGATCCGCTTGCGAATTAAAATTAATAAACGCGAACCCGCTTCGGTCAGCTTAAATACGTTTAATTGAAATGAATAATTAAGGAGATGTTTTAACCCGGCAATTATTGGCCCGCGCAATCGCTCGGATTCTTTATTTTGCGTCAGCTGAGGATACGACATGTTTTTTTCTTCGCTTCGCAACTTCTACCCCCGGTGCGTTTTCAGGACGCGCTGCGTGTTGTTCGGCACGATGTTCCGACGTTTCGCTCCACCTGCTGGATGCTTCTTCGGGAAGTGAAATCCGCAGCGTATTTCTTAGAAGAAGAAAACTGATAACACTGTGGAACAATGTATTTTTTTGGTCCTGGATAGTAAGTGTTATTTCCTAATTGCTTATGCCTCAAAAGTACAGAAAATGGCTATTGTTCCCCGCAAACTTTGCTTTTGTGACCAGGACAGTGATATTTTGAAATTTACATATTTTCTAGAACATTCCAGATATATTCAGTGCTGAGTAAACTTGGAGTAACTTCTAGAACATTCTAGAACTTTCCAGTAATATAAATAGTAGTATAAATATAGGGGCCTTAAGTCCACCAGTTCAGTTTAGTTCCAGCTGCCGAAGTGGATACATCTCTGCATTTTTCTGAGACTGGCATCAAGAGGCTGCAAGTATCTGGCAGACGCATTTTGCTATGTCTGCGGCTAATTTATCAAGACAAGAGCGAAAAAGTACTCTGTGGAAGCATCTGCTAAGATGTGTGAGGCCTACAAGGCATATTTCGGCATGCCTGTCGGGGATCAAGACAAACCCTGGGAACCTCATTTCACCTGCGAGCAATGCAAAAAAAACTCGGGAAGGTGAGATGGACAATTGGTGCTCGGAATTTTACGTTATAAAATTTGGTACAATTAATTGTAAAAGTTTTTAATTTTAAAATGTTTTATAATTTTCAATGTTATTGAAAATAATATCATATATGAAAAATCTTGCGAGAATTTCATGCACATTAGTCATGGGTGAAATAAATGTATTTTTGTAGGATGGTACAGATGGGAAAAGAGAGCCATGAAGTTCGCAATTCCCAAGAATTTGGCGGCAACCAACTGACCACTCAAGCAACTGCTACTTCTGCATGGTCCAATGCCGATCTTTTGATATCTAGGCTCAAGCAGTGGAACTTGTTGGATAAAAGTGTGCAAGTCGCAGATCAGAGGAAGCGTCACCAACCTTTTTGCAGCTTCTTCACCCGTCGAGATGGGCTCTGCTTCTGCCACAATGTGACCAGTCTGTTCGAGGCAATCTGAGTCACCTGTAACCATAATGAGTGGCGCCTCTTCATTGACAGCTCATCCAGGAGCCTCAAAGCCGTGCTGCTCCATAATGGTAACAAGTACCCGTCTCTTCCCCTGGCTCACTCGGTGCACCTCAAAGAGGATTACAACAGCATCAAGACCTTTTGATGGACGCCTTGAAGTATGATGAGTACAGCTGGGAGGTCATCAGAGACTTCAAAATGGTGGCATTCCTGATGGGTCTCCAAGGCGGTTTTCACCACGTTTCCCTGCTATCTTTGCCTTTGGGACAGCAGGGACACAAAGGCGCACTACCACAGGCAGGACCGGCCACAGCGGACCGAGTTCTCTGTGGGAAGGAACAACGCCAAGTGGGAGCCACTGGTGGACCCCTGGAAGGTGTTGATGCCACCACTGCACATCAAATTGGGCCTTGTGAAACAATTTGTCAGAACTGTAGATAAGGAGTCGGCAGCCTTCAAGTACCTTCAATACTTCTTCCCTAAGCTGTCTTAGGCAAAGGTCAAAGCCGGTGTCTTTGTCGGATCACAGATAAAGAAGATCCTGGAGTGCAATGAATTTCCCAAGAAGCTCACTAGTAAGGAGAAAGTGGCTTGGGACAGCTTTGTCGCAGTGGTTCGTGGCTTCCTGGGCAATCACGAGGTCGAAAACGATGTGGAGCTGGTTGAGACTGGTGAAGAATTACGGCACAATGGGCTGCAAGATGTCTCTCAAAGTCCATATCCTTGATGCTCATCTTGATAAATTCAAGAACATGGGAGCATACTCGGAGGAGCAAGGCGAGTGCTTCCACCAGGATATACTGGACTTTGAACGCTGCTACCAAGGACAGTATAACGAGAACATGATGGGAAACTACATTTGGGGGGCTGATTCGTGAAAGGTATTTACAGTATAATCGTAAATCTCGAAAAACTACTCACTTCTAAATCTTTTGTCGTCATTTTTGTTTTAATTCAGTATAAATACATGTAAATTTTGATTCATATGTTGTTTTTTTCTGACTTTATGTGACATAAATTCGCCAGTTTTCTCATAAAAAAATAGGTACATTTCAAAATATCACTGTCCTGGTCACAAAAGCAAAGTTTGTGGGGAATAATAGCCATTTTCTATACTTTTTAGGCATAAGCAATTACGAAATAACACTTACTATCCAGGAACAAAAATTGTGTTACGTAGTATGTAATAGGAATGCAAATTATAAACGCACACAATATCTCTCGGACAAAAGTGACCGCAACTCTTGGGTCATGGAGCCAAGGAGCAGTGTTGCTTGAAAGCCAGGTAAAATAGGCGGGGCCTTTAAGAAAGACGTGAACCTTTAAGAAAGAGGTGGAGCAATTTAAGAAAGAAGTGGGGCAATTTAAGAAAAACGTGGACCTTTAAGAGGCGGGGCCTTTAAGATAGAGGTAGGCCTTTAAGAAAGAGGTGGGATTTCATTTAAAGCTTTCGTGACTGCAGGGATTCATGTTCTTGGTTCTTTCGGTAAAGTCACGTAGAAGGGAAATATGTTTCATTATTTTATTATTTCCCTTCTACGCGACTTTACCCGAAAGAACCAAGAATATAAAGAGGTGGACCTTTAAGAAAGAGGTTGAGCCTTTAAGAGGTGAGGACCTTTAAATAAGAGGTGGGGCATTGAAGAAAGAGGTTGGCCTTTAAACGTCTCTCCAAAGTCAGCGTAGGTCGATGTGCAGCAGGATGGCGTTCCAGACGGCGGGGGCTGCAACGGAGAGACGATGCCTCGCAGTATCCATGGTCTCCTGCTCCTCGATGTACAGAGGACGACGAGGACGACGAGGAGGATGAGGTTGTGAGTCGCTCTGCCGCTGTGGGAGAGTTCCACCGTGAGCTGTAGTGCTTGGTGACAGCGGCACGGAGAGATACGGTGGACGACGCAAATTTCGACGTCCACACATGTGGCTGCTCAAAGCCTATTTTGAAAGCAGTCAAAACTACGGTGCAAGTTCCCACCCAGGAGCCGCTCGTAGTCGACTGGCAGATCGTGTGCGGTGGGGTAAAGTGTCGGTATTTCCAGCTGTTGCAAGACGTTTGGCCAGCGTGGAAGCGTAGGCTATGTACGCTCTTGAGGGGCTCTCTGGAGCTCCCTTGAGTGAAGGCCCTGATTATAACAAAACCCGAAGTGCGGCCGCTAAGATGCCGGCACAGGAGACGAGTGAACAGCTCAAATGACGGTTCATGGCCCATTGACGATACCTGCTGGGCCCTAAAAATGCTCATAGCACTCCCGGGGAGTGTGATTCGAGGAGGTTAAAAACCCTCCACTCCCCTGGTGGAAAATTACTCTTCAAAAAATCTAGTAATGGCAGAATCATTTTTCGAGGAGCAAATTCGCTCAAGAAAAATGTTCGCACAGCCAGCGGTTTGCCAATAGGAAGCCCCCTTCAATTGGCTGCTTGCATCGTAGGGGTTAAGGACATGCGAATGAAGCCCCCAGTTGTGTTTAATTTCCCCGCAAGAAGTGACAGATAAAAAAAAATCTATTTGGAAATTTGCATTTGAGAGTCGAAAATAAACACGTTTACGCGGCAGTGTGCCGGGATCACTGACCCGGTTCCAACCTTTCAAATATTGGCTCACAGCGGTTGGGACGGTTCGCACCCCCCGCGGCAAATCTGGCATTTCGTTAATATATCAGCGGCGATATCGCGCTCAAATGTAAACACATAAAGAGCTAAACGACCATTAAATTCCCGCGTTCATTTGCGGCGGGCGCGGCGATTTCCTCCCGTTCAGCGAGGAGCGCGGGTGGGAAGCTAATCGTGGCGAGCGGCGATTATGATGAGCTCGAGTAATTAAATTCCCTTTCCGATGGGACGCGCGCGCGCGAGCGGACGCACGCAAGGCCCCGCTGGCCAGTAATGGCCTCGCCGTCGCTTGGGGGCGGCCGGCGGTGGTGGCCGCGGTGCGTGGGGGAGGCGATGGCGGTGGGGAGAGGGGGGGGGGGGCAGCCGTGAATGCGGCGGTGCGTCCATCGCGCCATTAAGGCCTCAATAAACTGGATCGGTCTCAGCAAGGGGTGCGCGCGTGGGAGTCATCCCCCGCCATTTCATACAGTCAGTAAAAAAAAACGGAATCTAAGTGAATGTAAGTGATTCTTGCGGGCATTAAATACCCGTTATTATGCGATTTGCCCAATAAAGCTTTATTGGGACAGCGGACGACCTTAGCTTTTAAAATGACGGATGCGCCGGGGTGCGCGGGTCTTTGTCCTCGATGATCTTTCCCGTGTGTGCTTTTGTCAGTTTTGTTGCTAAGTTATGCAAATGATTTGAGCGAATGTGTGGCATTAAAATGCACGCACAGGTATCACCTGCACGTGTGGGAGGTGTTTTTTTCTTTTTCTTTTTCACGCAGCGTTCCGCAAATGGCTAAATGACCCGATCTCGTCAGATCTCGGAAGCTTAAGCGTGGCTGGGCTCGGCAAGCTCTTGAATGCGCGTACACCCGTGCACAGCACAGGCTGCAGTAGACGGCATGCGGGCCTGCAGTTGCAGGCTGGAGGCGGCAGTGCAGCGAGTTTGTTGTTTGTTGTCCGTTGTTGGACCGCACTGCGCTCCAACGCCTACGCTCCCCGCCTTTGCCAACACGCGCCGATCACCGGGGAGACGTACGCTCCAGCTTCACGGCGTGTGTGCTGAGTGCCTCATCCAACAGCGGATGGACGCAAGACGGCTCTGTACGTGTACATTCCTGCACCGTGCTAGGTGGCTGCGGTGGCGAGATGTTAATTACCTCGCTTGGTGCACAGGAGATTGTGGGTTCGATCCCGACCCTGACGCCTGCCGTATATTTGGAGTTTGTGTGTCTCTCTCTTCCTGTGGTCACGTGGATTTTTGTTCGGGTCCTCCGGTTTTTCCCTCCACATTTAGAATCGACGTGCACCGAAGAGCATTTGTCCGCTATAAATTTCCACGTGATAAGCCACTTCATTGAGCTATCACATGTGTGTGTTGGTCAGGTCTGCTTTCGATTTAAAAATAATAATCTACACAGAGCTCAGTGGGGCCTCACCTGGTAAAAGAAAATATTGTTGAATAGTTGCATTATTTGTTTTTACCCCCCAGCTCAGTCGCACGCACACTTGCTCCCAGTCTGCAGTCCGAGGCTCGGCTCGTGCTGGGGGGGCGGGGATCTGACAAACCGTAGGGGGCTCGGCGCTGGCACGTCTGCGCCACGGCATTTTAGAGCCTCACTGTTAAAGTTTTAGCGGCGCTTGGGGGCACTGGGAAAATGGGCGGGGGGAGGGGGGTAAGGTTACGGGAACAATGCTAACCGCGCGAGCCGGCGAAACAGTGTCGGCGCTAGACATAGCGTAAGCGCTATTGCGGAGGAGCCAGTGACGGCGATATAGCACCGCGAGGAGGCAAGCCCTTCGGATAGTGTGCGCTAAACAAAGCGGGCTGGGGGCTGCCGCTGACTCTACATCCGCGAGTGTAAAGCGACTTATAAGTCCGGGATTTGAGGGCGTACGTTTGGTTGTTCGCTGCATGAACATTCTCCAAGGTGTATTTGTCGTGCCCGTAAGTGCGTTATCCCCTGGGATAGACCAAGTGTATGCACGTTAGAACGTGTCTATATCTGGTTTATCGCGGGCTTAAAGCGTGGAGGGGGTCATCTAAACGGTGAAATGGACACGAGAAGCATTGCCGCACGTCCACGATTTAAGTCTGGCTTATGAGCATCTCCTTTCTAATTTAATTTCTCGGATTTTTAACGCTGTAATCACTCTTGATTTCGATATTTTTTTTTACCTTTTATTTTTATGCTTGAAAGTCGTTTGTTTCAGCCAAAGTGATTATGAAGGCACGCACACTTTATTAAACATTTTCCCCCCCATATTTTCCCCGCCTCCTTTCAGCTGTCACTTTTTTTTTTTCAGGGTAACGCGTTTTTACAACGCGCCCGGCCAATTTAGCCGAAGTTATTCCAGAAGAACCACAACACCTAAATTAATATTTAAGAGCCCTGTTGGGAAGCCACAAACCAATCATCGGGTCCCTGACCATTTAAAAACAAACTTAGAAATTTCATCTCGAGGCGTTATATTTTTTTTCTCCTCTCTCTCGCTCGCAGTGGAATTACTCATCATTGTGCCATAACGCGCCAGCATCAATTTGGCTGCGTGCGCCGCGCGGGTCCCTTGACAAGCGCGGGCGGGCGCAAGTGCCGCTCTCATGCCGCTCTCATCCCGCCTCGTAAATTAGCCGGGGCGGCCGCAGTTTGTTATTTTATGTTTTTTTTTTTTTGCTGCGAGCACGTTTATTGGCGGTCCCAGTCGTGCAATCGCGCTTTTAGTACGACAAAACGGCATACTTCGCCGGGAAACATTAAACCACCCCCCGCTCCTATCCCCCCTTCCCCCGGCTCTCTGGGCCATTCGTCAAGCGAGCCCCTTCTCACCGCCACTGCTGCCGCAGCCGCCACTGCCGCCGCTTGCAACTACCACAGAAAAACCTGCCTGCAGGTTAGGGCCGGGGCATTTCAATCAACTGCGGTTTGTTTCCAAGATGCGGTCTAAGGGGGCCTCGAGTTGCTCCCCCCCCCACACAAACTCACCCCACCCTCCCGTCCTGCCACCCCCTCGCCAGTGAGATTGGCTGGTGGGGGCCCCCAGCCGCCACAGTTCATACAACATTTCAAAAATATTTTGGTACGTACACACACACACGCGCACACACACACACGCTCTCTCGCCCGCTCTCTCTTGCTCAACGTATGCGTGGCTTATGCGTGCAGTACAAACAACACCGCGGGTGAGATTTACGTCTTACCGAAAATCAGCCGGGATGCAGCGCCGTGGCGGTTTGTGCCGGCGTCGGTGGCGATGGAGACGCGTCGGCGGGATTTTGCCAGGATTCTGACGGAAAGGGGACATTGGCCACCAACACGCAAATTGTTTTTTTGTGTTTGAAGCTTTTCATGCATGTAGATCATTGACCAAATGAGTAACACATGCCCTCAGAGAAGCACGTTTTCTGAAGGGCTAGAGGAGCTGACATTTTGCACAAATCAAAAACGTTCAAATCTTGGCGCGCAAACATTCCAGCGCCCAGTTCAATTGGTTTTCCTCACGGAGCAGGTTCAAGCCGAAAATTCTACACTGCTTTAGGTCTTGCACTAAACACTTAGTACAAAGATACGATCCCAATCATCAATGAACTAAGCAAGTCACCTCCTATGAAGTTAGACACTGGAGCTGATACAAATCTGGCAAGGCCCCGTGCAAGTTGTGGGTGTGAACGTACCACTGCACGTGCATGTGCATAGCACATTTTTTTGCTGGCTGTAACTGTTTATTACAACAAAAAAGACGGGTGAGTAAGATACACGTCGGTATACACCTCTCCATGCATTGGTCAACAAGCTCAGAGGGCCTCCCCCCTTGCACTAATGGCCACAGTCTTTGACAATGGTGGTGGTGTGGCACAGTTCTCCACTTGGTCCTCATCCCCAGTGTTTACCCCCCCCGCCGCACCACCACCACCACTATCATCATTACCACCACCATCATTATCATCATCACCATTATCATCCCCACCATCATCACCACCGCCATCACCACCACCATCATCATCACCACCATTATCATCACTATTACCATCACTACTATCATCACCACCACCACCATCCCCACCACCACCATCATCACCACCACCATCATCATCACAACCACCATCATCACCACCATCACTACCATCACCACCACCACCACCACCATCATCACCATCATCATAACCACCATCATCATGACTACCACCATCACCACCACCACCATCACCACCATCATCATATCTACCATCATCACCACCACCGTCATCGCGCGTGCTAATTCGCGCGTCTCCTCTCGTGCGCCGGTCGGGTGCGCGTGGACGCGTGGCACGCTCCCGCGAGCGCACGCTGCAAACAGTCGCATCTCCCCGGGCGCCGCCCACGTCAACTCTGCACGCCGAAGGCCGTGCAGTGCTCGGCAGCTGAGAGAGCGAGCGAGCGAGTGCTAATTCGAGTGCACCGCGTCGCTAAATCACAGGAAACGTAACTAATTTCACCCGCGGTCGGGGCCGTGCCGTGACGGCGGCTGGGGTGGCCGCAATGGTTTTCGCAGCCGCTCGTAATGCACCTGCGGCTCCGTCGGGTTGGGCCGCACCGTTGAGCTTTTCTTCGCCCCAGAAGCTTTCGCCGCGCACTGCTTCACGAGTCGAGTGAAGACGCTGTCGACCTACCACTGGTCGCGGGCCTCCCCACACCGTGCAGGTCGTGGGGGCGGGCTTTGGAACATACTTCACCACGCTGGTCAGCGTGAGTTGACGAAGGCGAGGAGCGTAGAGGTAAAGTACAACACTCGAGTGCGCTGCATTGCCCTCTGCTGCTCGTAATGTAATCCCCGCGAGCTATCACAACCGGCCTTGCATGGTGGCATTACGCAAGATTTCACCACGGCGGGCATCTTCAGCTCGTGACAATGCCGGCAGTGGTGGTTCGCAGTCGTGACATTATCAGCGTGTGGCCTAACCCAGAGGGCCACGCGTGGACATTAAGGGAGGCTTGGATTGACCTCCGTAGCCGTGTCCAGCTCAAGCAAAGTGAGATAGGGGAAGTTGCCAGCGTACGAGATGCCGGGCTACGAGAGGAAAGGCATTGTATGTACGTACGTTGAACTTCTTTCACACCCTACGTAGCAACTTGTGCTCATCGGAGGTGCGGAAAGCAGACGGGGGACTCCATTCCGTTGATTCCATCAGGGACCCTCGTCGCCAACCGCGTAGCCGGTCGGCACCGCAACCGCCAGGGTGCGCGATGACACCCGGATGCGTGGACCGCCCCAACCTGCCCAATTAGCTCGGCGTGTAAAAAAATAAATATATTGGTGAGCCCGCCGTTGTGCGTCGCTAAGGGGCCCACGCCGCCTCGCGTCACGCAGGCACGCGGTTTTTTGTGGCAAGCTGAGTACCCGTGGCGGGGGTCATGGGTTAACCCCGAGTGCTGCACGCAGCCAGCCTCCGATGATGATTTACACAGCCCCCCATCCCTCCCACCACCACCGTCAGGTGAGTGCGTGCGTTCAATTTCCTTTCATCTTTTCCTCGCCGAGTAACGTTTTCGAAATTTCTCGCGAGCTGTTTTCGTGCATCGCAACCCCCTGAGGGCTGCTGGTCTCCTGCGTACGTACCGAAGCTGAAAGAAGCGTGGCCAAAGGCACTAACCACTAGAGTACAGGATACACCTTACATCAACAATCCCATACAATTAAATCATATATTCCTACAATCCTATGAATTCTAGATTTGAAGCTTTCGTGACTGCAAGGATTCATACTTTTTTTTATCCTATGAAGTTCAGGATTTGGACCAACTCAGCCGAGGTGCGGGCTTGGAATTGCACAGAGACAGGGAGAGGAATGTACGGATTAGAGAGCATACGCAAGTGTGGCTTCTATGTAACAGCGATGATGACCATTGGATTGGCGCATATCTATCCGTTGCTACCTCACTCTCAGAATATCTTCACAGGGCTCGGTTACGGTTGGTAAGCACGCGATACGTTGAGCTCCCAGCGACTCTAAGCGTCGTCTCCGTTCAAGTAAAATAATTATCGTCAAATTTTTTTGCTGTACCATTAATATTGCTTCTTCTATTCTTTTGTCTCTCTTACGGGGTTGGCTTTGCTACGTGAGCCCAAATGTAACGTCGGAACACCGTTTGCCGACAGCTTGCACGCCGCTAACTGACTTGAGCTCCCTAAAGAAGCTCCCCACACGTGGACTGAAACGTCGGACAAGGTGCCGAACAACGCGCGTTACAGCCCGGAAACCCGTGAGGGGGGCGGCGGTCATCATTTACACCGATCGTGACGAATCTATTTCCAACGCGTGCAATCCAACCGACAACGAGCGTCAAAATCCATTGCAATCGACCAATCGACGCATAGTCACACGCGTGAACGTGTCAGGGTGTCTTCACGCGGAAGTCCATTTTTCGTTTGGAATCCCTCGTGTATTTTCTTCCCACAGTGGCGCCACGGCGGAGTGACCTGGCTGCCATCTCTCTGGCCTGCGCGTGCCCCCCACACTCACAACCGCCCCCCCCCCTCCCACAATGCCCGTTCTCGTCCCTCACTGCCCCTCCCCCCGGTAATCGCTGGGAATTTACTGCGCCGTGGACGTGTTCTGTCCAGCCCGCATTCCAAAACGAGAATTCCCAAGGCTGGGATTCATAACTCGGTGGAGAATTGCAAATGAAGGCTGCCGTTGAAAGTAAAAAAAACAAAGGCCGAGAATATAAAATAAAACACAACAGCGACGGCAAAGCGGTGGTGGGGGGGGGGGGGCGGGGGAGCGGTGTCTGTGGGTGGCCCTCCGCAACCAGCAGAGCCCGGGCACCAACCACAGGCATCGCGCCGTAACAGCCCCCGTAACTGGATATCAAAACAGGATAGCTTTGTATAAATGAGCCTAATTTGCACCAGACTCGGTATCTGGTCGTTGGGAGATTTTTCGCCCGTTGTTGTAAATATACACACGAGCTCGGAAGTTCGGCGAAAACGCCCGCTGTGGCAGCGGCCGCAACTTGCGCGATCTGGCTCCCTCGGGACACGGTGGGAGGGGTGGGGGGGTGGGAGCAGGGGGGGGGGCACTACCGTGGGGGTCACCGAGGGCGGTTGTTTTTTTATCAACAGATTCCTCACAAATTTGCTACCGTACATGGAATGCGTACACAGGGCTCGGTATCAATAACCCGCTGTGATGAAACATCATCGATTAATTTATCAAGCGCCGGCAGCTCCAGCAGCCGTTATGACGGGATGTTAACTATCCTGCTTGCTATGCAGGAGGTCGTGGGTTCGATCCCGACCCTGACGCCTGCTGCTGTATATTTGGAGTTTTCACGTCTCTGTCTCCCCGTGGCCGTGTGGATTTTTCTCCGGGTCCTCCGGTTCTTCCCTCCACATTTAGAATCAAAGTGCGTTTTTGGAGTACTTGTCCTGCTATAAATGTGCACGTGATGAGCCACTTCGTGGAGCTAACATTCATTTGTGTCCAGGTCGCTCCTGAAAAAGAGCTACATAGCTCAGTGGGCATTACTTGGTAAAGTAAAAATAGCTTAGTCTGACGAATGGTGCAGTAAGAAGCAGCTCCGTTGCTCCCGCGAGAAGTTGACTTCTATCGCACCGTACGTAGCCAACCGTGATAATCGGAGGTGCGGTGGGCGGGGGGGGAAGGATCACAAACTAAACACAAAAAGCAGTTTAACACGTAGCAGGCTTTCGCGACCAGTATCATCCATAATAGAAGTTTTTGGGTGAGATCGCGTAAATAGTAGTTGTAAAGAAACGAGCTTGCCAATCTCGATGATTTAAAAGTGCACAGCTCCAGCGGCTTCCTAACATCGGGCGGAAGAGCGTTCCAGACGGCCGCAGAAGCGCACCCGAAGACTTGGCAGCGCGCGGCGTCGGTCATAAACGCGCGGCAGGGAGTGCAACCGCGTAGAGTTTATTTTTTTATCACCATTATCATTTGCTTACATTTTATTTGCGCTTAATTTTTATGGCGAAGAAGAAGAACAAGGAGAAGAAGGCGAACGAGAGGGAATAAAGTTGACGGTAAAATTTATCGCGGTGAGCGCGCGCGTCGATCGCAAAAGAATAAACGAGCGATTAAAGTTGTTACGGCGCTCGGGCAATCTGCATTGCTCCGGCTTGTCAAGAGAAGAACCCCCAAAAACGCACGCGAGAGTCATCTCTGCCCCCCTTCAGACACGTAATTCTGCGATCCCGACACATGGGGACGGCTTCAAGACACCTGCATCAGGCACTGACCCGGACTCGTCGCGCCAAAAAAGTAGCGCAAGAAGGTCAAAGTGA